CTCTCTCTCTCTCTCTCTCTCTCTCTCTCTCTCTCTCTCGCTCTCTCTCTCTCTCTCGCTCTCGCTCTCGCTCTCTCTCTCTCTCTCTTTCTCTCTCTCTCTCTCTCTCTCTCTCTCCCCCTCTCTCTCTTCCGTTCAGGAAAGAATTATCAAAATTAGAGTACGTTTTGTGGTTCTTTATTGGTCGTTGTTGGACAAACACTTGATGAACTATTTTACATTAGAAAAGAGACCACTGCCGATATCCCAGTCAAATTTCCTCAATTTCTCACTAGAATATAATAGGTATTAAAAACAGTAAAAATAATGAAAGAAAACAGAAAAAAATTTTCTCCGGGTTTCCAATGTTCGTTGATGTTCCGGAAAACACCATCGTCACTTCGTCACGTGTTCGTCAATAATGCCTCTGTTCTGGTACAATATCCCCCATTGCCCAATCAAGCGGCATTCATTCACAATCTTCTTCATCGTCTCTTAAAAATATGTAAACTCAGAAATAAGCCCGCAGCCAGACTTGATTGTTCGGAGCGGCAAGTAATATATCTGGAGGGACAAGTACTATATCTGGATGGGCATGTTATATATCTGGAGGGACAAGTAATATATCTGGAGGGAAAAGTAATATATCTGGATGGGCATGTTATATATTTGGAGGGACAAATAATATATCTGGAGGGGCAAGTAATATATCTGGAGGGGCAAGTAATATATCTGTAGGGACAAGTAATATATCTGGAGGGACAAGTAATATATCTGGAGGGGCAAGTAATATATCTGGAGGGACAAGTAATATATCTGGAGGGACAAGTAATATATCTGGAGGGACAAGTAATATATCTGGAGGGGCATGTAATATATCTGGAGGGACAAGTAATATATCTGGAGGGGCAAGTAATATATCTGGAGGGACAAGTAATATATCCAGAGGAGCAAGTAATATATCTAGAGGGACAGGTAATATATCTAGAGGGACAAGTGATATATCTGGAGGGTCAAGTAATATATCTGGAAGGGCATGTAATATAGCTGGAGGGGCAAGTAATATATCTTGAGGGACAATGTTGTATGGTGTTTATTTGCAGTAGTGGAATTGTGAGAATTTCCTCAGGGGGGCAATCCATTTTTTCGGCCCCCTGTAACTACGGGTTGCTTATAAACCAAAATAAAATCATGAGAAATATTAATAATAATGAAAATGCAGACAAAAATCTTTGAAGCCATGGAGATAAAATAGAAATCACTACTGTTTTTATTACAGAGTTTCAAATTTCAGTTAAAATGTCAGAAAATGTCACCAAATGTCTTGTGAGATCTCTATTTCAGACTAATATTATACACATGTCTTCTCGTTCAGTTAATATCACAGGATTTCACAACGATCATTATTAGGTCATATTGAAGTCAGATTGAAGTCAGATTGAAGTCAGATTGAAGTCATATATAACGCAGGTTGAATTCCAAGAGGGAAATTTGGAGACAAAAGGTCGTTTTTAAATCACTAACACAAATAAACACCACATGGGATTTGAGTTTTATTTCATTCGACTGAAAACAATTGACGATTGAATTGAACTGTCGAGTTTGAGATTCAAAATACAGCAACTCTGAGAAAGTACCTAGATTCATACAGCGTCTGAGAGGATTTCCCCGAAGACAATTTTTGAAAAATAGAATTGGTTAAGAGCATTCTGACACATATTTCGGGGCAAAAAAGTTTCAAAATCATAGTGATTTGAAGTCAGGGTAAAAACAACTTTTCTAGGGGGTTGGGTAGGACTAAGGAGGGGGGTGCAAGGCGACGCCGCTGTGTCCAAGCAGAAAATTCCTCAGTGCAGTATCTCGACTTTCATCAGCCCACACTGTGGTAGAAAGTTAAACTTTAAATGATATTCTAGAAATGATTGAATTATCAAATGAAAGGTGTAAATAAATATATCAACTTGTCCAATCATACAAGGAACTATTCTGCGACTGTTTCCACGATAACAGAATCGTTATTCTGAAGTTTGTAATAGCTTGACATTGTAAAGATGAAGTTTGTAATAGCTTGACATTGTGAAGATGAAGTTTGTAATAACTTGATATTGTGAAGATGAAGTTTGTAATAGCTTGACATTGTGAAGATGAAGTTAGTAATAGCTTGACATTGTGAAGATGAAGTTTGTAATAGCTTGACATTATGAAGATGAAGTTTGTAATAGCTTGACATTGTGAAGATTAATTTTTGGTAATAGCTTGACATTGTGAAGATGAAGTTTGTAATAGCTTGACATTATGAAGATGAAGTTTGTAATAGCTTGACATTGTGAAGATGAAGTTTGTAATAGCTTGACATTGTGAAGATGAAGTTTGTAATAGCTTGATATTGTGAAGATGAAGTTTGTAA